TAAAGTCTCACACCTGGGTTTTAAGAAGTTGACTGCATAAATACAAGAAGAGGGAGGCATGGCTAGACAGCAGTTCATCTGGAAAAGATCTAGAGGTTTTGGTGGATTGCAAGGATAATGTGAGTCAACAATGTGATATGGCAGCCAAAAAAACTAATGTGATCTCAAGCTGCAATAAGGGGAATAGCTTCCAGGAAAAGGAAAAGGATAATCCCATTGTACTGTGCCTTGGTCAGGTCACACTTGGAGTACTGACTTTAGTTCTGGGCATCATACATTTTGGAAAAGACACTGATGAGCTGGAGAGCAGCCAGAGGAGGGCAGCCAAGAGGATGAAGGACCTTGAGTCCATGTTATAGGAGGTTAGCTGGAGAAACCAGGAAAGGAAGGCTCAAGGGCAGGGGTTGTTAACCTGGGGTCTGTGGACTGTTAAAGAAAAATGATAACTGCATTTCAATATAAATGGATTCCTTTCTAGTCTTGTTCATTTTACATTACGTATTTAACAACACTCTGAGATAAGATCCACGATTTTTACCAGACTACCAATGGGGTCCTGGTCACAAAAAATTGAAGATCCCTGCTAAAGGGTAACCTAGAACCTGTCTTCAAGAATATGTAGGGCTCTTATATGAAAAAAGGACTAATCTTGCTCTGTTTGGTTACAAAGGGCAGAGACAGGAACAGAGGGTAGAAATTACAAGGAAGCAAATGTCAATAAAAATTTCCTCAAAGTTCAAACTATACAAAGGTGGAATAGACTGCTTTGGCAGGTGGTAGGTTCCACACCCCCTCCACTGGATATCTTTGAGCAAAGGTGAGGTATATTGTTCTTTGAGCAAAGAACTGGCCGAGTATATTGTACTAAAGATTATTTTTGGTTCATGAATTGAATTAGGTGATGACTGACACCCCTTCCATCTCTAAAATTCTTTAATTCTTTGAATACCCAAATCAGGGAGATTATAGATCCATCTAAGTATCTAAAATAGTGAGTATACTAAAGTCTTATCCACAGTAGGCCAGAATAACATGAAATTTTATTAGCTGTACTTTTTATTAATATTTTTTTCTCAAGTCTACTTAAAGTATTATGCCTCTGGTAGGTGCTTCTATATGACAGTATTTTTTGAGCCTGGCTTTCTGGTGTGAGACATCACAATTATGAAGTGAAAAAAAGATTTTATTTACTAAGATTCAAGTTTTTCTAAAAAATAAAATGAAAGATTTCAAGAATCTTAACTATTGGTGAATCACTAATTCCAACATTTTGTCCATTTATAAAGTCATTTAAAATGTGCCTAAGATAAAATGAAAGTTTATGAAACCTTCCATAGAGAAGGAAACTTGAAAGAGAAAGGAAATGAAAGTGAATCTTTCAGATGTAAAGTCATTTCTTGATTTTACAAAATTAGAAATCCAAGAAGAAATATCTTAAAACTAGTAAAGGTAAAGCCCTGCTACAGACCTACTCTAACATCTCACTGTGGCATGGAAGTGACCCCTGAGCTCCCAAAGGCTACAACCAACAAAATAGCAAGTCTCACTAAGCTGAGCAAACTTCAAGTACGGACCTAGTGCTGAACTAGATGTTGTCATATGAAGTCTCGCTGGACTTGACAATTAGCTGTGTTAGCAAACAAAAAAATTCATTTTGGAATATAAGTAAAATTCCATTACAGAGGTAGGTATGCTATGAACATTCAAAAGTCTTCTAAATAATTAAGAGTTCTAGAGTCTTCCATTTGCCATAAGGTGACTCACATTTCGGGCCTACCTTGCTGATTTACTATTTCTTTGTTACTCCTTCCCATTCCCCTACACTCTGCATATGCCCTTGTCATCTCCTTGTGATGCTTCTGTGGACTGATTCCCGGTACTAGCCAAAGATTAGGACTCAACATCACCCAGCAAAATGAAGTAGCAACCAGACCTAATTAATCCATGTAATGACAGTGAAGAGTAAGAACAAATTTTAGAAAACTGGCAGCTTTTCACTAGTGAAATGGAATAGGGTTCATACATATTTTTCACTTTCAAATGATCCCATCCTCATTTACATTATATCGAAGCAGTGAATTTTCTTGAAGTAAAACTCTGTGTGTGTGTGTGTGAGAGCACGTGCATGTGTGTATTTTTAAGTTTAGAAACCTACCATTTTATTGCCTATAAGTTGTGTCTGAATTTTAATGTTCTTGAGTGAATGATAATACTGAACTCATTGTTTATACTTATTTGCATCTGTTAAACATTTTGGTAAACAATTGCTTAAGAAAGATAATTTGAAAAAAGTTCTTGTCTGTGAGCAGTTCAATTTCATTTATTTTAGTCAAATATAAACTGTGTCAATGTCCTCAGTGTTTACTGAATGTGTTAATAGCTCTATATTTAATCTGTTTCATTTAGTTGCTTGGTTACACCAATTCTGCTGTTCACTATGAGGTTGGTTACACTCTATTCTCTGCCCTAATTTCACCATATATGCAGTATTATGTTTGGTTTTGGGTGACACATTTTAAAAAGAATATTTGCAAGCTAGAGCATATTCAGAGGAGGGTGACCAGGATAGTGAGGAAATAAGTTCAAAAGTTAAAAGAACTGGGAATGTTTAGCCTGGAGAACAGAAGATTTGGAGGGGACATGATAACTGTCTGTCATGTGGAACAGACATAAGCTTTATTCTGCTTAGGGTAGAACTAGAAGCAATGGGTGGAAGCTACAAAGTGGCTGATTCATGAGGGAAAATCTTACTAACTATTGGACTGTCTAAAAATGAGATTAACTGCTTCAAAGAAATTGTGAGTTCTTTGTGGCTTTCTCCATGGCTGGAGGTCTTCAGAGGTTGAAAGACCACTTATCAGGGATATCATAGAAGGAATTCCTGAACAAGTGTCCACTGGACCAGGAGGCCTTGGATGGCCAACACCAAGATGCTAGGATTCTATCATTTTGCATTATTCAGCACATTCCAAAGCAAGAAACTTGTGCTGATCCCTGTGCACTATAGTTCTCTTTGTGACCAGCAGGAACTGGCTGGCCTGGTTACAAAATGCAATCCTTTGCCAGAGCAAAACTCACTTCTACACATGCTGATTGAACCCATGACCTTCACCTCATTAGCCCTGTACTAAACAGTAAAAAACACACCCACACTTAGATTAGAAGACTCGAAAGAAACAAGTTTTCATGCCTTCAGCCACTTCATTGATATTTGTCACGTATCCACAAACGTGTCCTCTATAGCTGTAGACTTGTTGGGCTGTAGCAACTTGGTTTTTTTTTTTGTCTACTAATAAAATATATGTCAGATCCTACTACAGCAAACTCCTACCTATTACTCTAATACTTTTATCATAATAGAATTCTGGCTGAATATTGGTTGAAATGTACAACCACTGGATGGGGCTTGAAAATTTTTCCATCATCCACGATTTTATTAAAATGTTTTCATTCTAATATTGTACCCCATATCATATATTAACTCCCTACAATTTGAATGTAAAATACTTCCCAAACTTTAATTTCAAATGTGACACAATTCATATATAAATTAATAGATTTCTAAAATGACACAATTTCAAAATGGGTCTAGTGACTTTTTCAGGGATTACAGGGATTCACATCAGGTTCCTGGGAATAAATAGATATTGGGAGAACAAATTAAAACAGAGTCTGGGATAGTTAAACTATACTTACTAATACCCAAAGATTCTGAAGCAGGAACTAGGTTTTTATTCTGGTATCTGCCCAAGGGAAGAATTCCCCCATTTATTTATCTACGCCCAGATGGTAATCTTGGCACCAATGCCACATACCTATGGCAAAGGGCAGCTTTGTTACTCTCCACCTAGAGGAATGGTGTACAAGTTGGAAAACACTTTGTCAGGTAAGACAAGGATGAACAAATAGATGAAATAATTCTCAAAGATACAGGACAAAATTCACCCCAAAGGCAGAAGAGATATTATTTGTTGATAATAATAGCTCTAGTAAAATATCTGAGGGCAACTAAGTGGCGCAATGGATAGAGTGCTGGGTCTAGAGTCAAGAAGACTCATCTTCCTGAGTTCAAATTCAGCTTCAGACACTTACTAGCTGTGTGACCGTGGGCAAGTCACTTATCCCTGTTTGCCTCAATTTCCTCATCTGTAAAATGAGCTGGAGAAGGAAATGGCAAACCGTTCCAATATCTTTGCCAAGAAAACCCCAAACAGGGTCATGAAGAGTTGAACATGACTCAAAAACGACTATACAGAAAAACTAGATTATCTACCTTGACAGACTTTTGCAATATCCTCACCTAATCCACAGCTACTTCCTCTGTTCATGCTTACCATTACCTTTCACACATACACACTTCTAAAATTTCCTTTTCCAATTCAGCAAGCATTTGTTTAAAAACAAAAACAAAAACCAGAAAAACCAACAATTATCCCTGCCCTCAATGAGCTAACATTGTACGTTATGTTTTTAGGAACCCAAGTTCTAGCAGGGAGCTCAATTTCTTTACATGTGACGTGAAAACTCTAACTTTACAATGGATTTTTTTGTGACATTTACTTTCTCCTTGATGAATACCCTTGCATTGCATTTATAACTTTCCATATTATTTAGTCTCAGAAAACACATGTGTGAGTTATTTGCCTTTTCAGGAAATCATGCAAGTTCTCTTACAAAGGTTTTAATTTATTTTTGCATTCATGTTTGCATGAAGCTGCTTTCAAAACTCAAGTTTTGGAATTCAAATTGCACTTCCCCCAAAATTACTCATTTTTTTCATCCAATAAGTTTGTAAATGTGATGCTTAAATGGAAAGGAGCCAAAAGCCTATACTACTATTCCTGAGGAAAATCTAAGCAGCTGTGGCTGTGTAATTTAAAACCTCTGAAGAGTCTGCTGCAGTACTAGCCCTGCGTTATTTTAACATGAGGACTGGATGCAGACAGTTCTCCAAGAGATCCCCTTACCCACCGCATGAAAAAAAGAAGTGAAAGACAAACCTGAGTACAACCTGAAAGGTCCAAATCGGTGATCTTGTGGCATCCTTTGCCTAAACTCAGGTACTGTAAACCTTTCTCTGTGAATTTCCTGCAATAAGCCAAACTAAGTTTCTGTAAGTTGGGGAAACATCTGAAAAGAAAAACCGGGAAAAGAGGAGATGAGAAGAGGGAATGGTCATTATGGTTCACTGCAGAATTCATTTCAGCTGTTTGCTTGCATTTTTCTTAACACACAGTGACTAAACAAAGTAAGATTGTTAACTGGACATCCTCTGTTCTGATGTTTAATAAGTTTTTTTTGGGCGGGGGCTAGGGTGTGGAGTAGATCTGCAGTAGTGGAAAGACTTCTTTTCATGCTGAAGAAACTAAGATTGGCAGTAAAATTTCAGAACTATTTGGAGCTAGGGTTAGAATTAGTTTCAAATGAAAATCTCTCAAAGGAGATTAACTTAAAAGTTTAAGAGAACTAACTTTCAAAAGCCCACTGGGGATGCATGCATATTTTTTGAAAACTAGCATATTTTTAAAAACAAAGTTGCAAGATTTGTTCTCTTGTTTTATTGTAAGTTTTATCGGTGGGACATCAAAATTAGAATTCCAACAAAGGATGCTATAAGTGTGCAAAGAACAAATACTCTGTAAGATTTTCTCTGCTGATGAATTATTATTATACAAGATTGTTAGAGATTTGACTTAAAAGCACATTGTCAAAAACAATAAAAAATGAATCTGGAATCATAATTGCCTTAGAAATGGGAGACACCTAGAGCAATTCCCTCATTTCACATTTGGGAAAACTGAGGACCGTAGGGATTAAGTAGGTTTCTCAAGGTGACTCATCTAACTAGTGGCAGAAATGGGACTAGAACCAGATCTACTGGATCAGTTTCCAAAGCTCTTTCCAAGTTGTAAGTGGTTATTCAAAAGGAATCTAAAAAGTTACTTTTAAAGTGGAAAATTTTATTTTTAAATGAATTTTTACCATTTATAGTATCAATCAACCATTTCCAGTACCAATCTTTAAAAAAGGCTAATCTACTATGATTAAATGAACTTATAATAGTATAGTGCAAATGGTTTGATGTGGATATGATATAAATAAGAAAATACATCATAGATTATGAATCTTTGGAGAATTAAAACAGAGCAGTTACAACCATGCCACAATGACCAAAATGAAGGCTTCCAGAGAGATGAAATGTAATTAGAATGAGTCTATTCTACTGTGCTCTTTGAGCTTTCGGTTTCAGGACAGTCTTTAGGCAATTTTCCAAGGCAGCCCAAGTCTAGCATTTCAGAAAGTGCAAGAACTCCCACTACTGACAACTTCTAAGGAAGAGGAATAAGTCATTGTTATGGAAACCAACAACATGCGTTTGTAATTGACAACGTTGCAGAACAAAATTAAAGGACAAAAAAGAAGAAGGCAGGGGAAATGGTTGTGAAAAAAAAATCCAGAAGACTTAAGTTCATATTCAATGAAAAGATAAAATAAAACACATACACATATTATTATTAATTTTATTTCCAATAATTTGAAACACACTTGTCTACATGAAACAGATTACCCCACTCATGCTGAATTTTTTTGAACAAAACATAATTTTTCTCTCTCCTACAGCTCGTATTCAAAACACATGATGAAACATTTTAGTATCTTTAATGTTGCTCTGACTCAGATCAACAGCTCAGTGAGGAGATGAGATAGCTTTAGCAGAAATAGTCCAGGCCACTCCCCTCCGTTGCTTGGAGCTTCTAAAATGATCCAAAGGGCTGTTGATAAGATCTTGAGAATATACACTTCATCTTCACTCTTTTCAGGTGAATACTGAGAGTAAGCGGGGAAAATACAATTTCCTTCCATCTATACTCAGATGTCCAAAGACCAGTTGGACACACTGAAGGATATCTAACAACAGGAACTATTAAGCAAAATAAATATTCCAAAGAATCTTGTGGAATCCCCCTCCATGGCAGTATTTTAAAATGAGAATCTACACTTATTTCACAAGGATGGACCAGACATAGATCTTTTAGGAAGAAGGCAAAGGGATGCATAGTCATGTGACATTTCAGTATTTTGACCAATACTATGCATCCCTTTGCTTCCACATAATGAGTCAAATCCACTATTTCAAAGATGGAAATCTGTTAGAGTAAAAAAGCTGCACTTCCATAAACTGAAAAATTACCAAATTAATGGGACTACCAATGACTTGTCTTCAGAATGGAAAACCGTAAGTGTGGAAATCCACAGGGCACTTCTCAACTGTTTGTCTTTTTTTAAGTTTTTCCAGAGGAAATGATTGTTGGAGGTGTATATTTCCTAATGGTGGGAGAACTATCAGTTGACAGTGAAATCTCATTTGGCAAATTTTAATTAACACTGCTATGTTTCATTCTGAGTTTGACACAGAAATGTGTCCCCTGCTGAGCAAGAGTTGATCCCTCATTTTCAAACCCTGAGACCATTCATGTAATCCTATTTCTGACTTGTTTTAGTTTATATTTTTTACTTTGTGTTTCACCTTTTCCCAGTTACCTAGTTTCTTGTGGAATTCTTTCCACTCATTTTAATATTACTAATTTTTGGCTGCTATTATGTATAGAATATTATCATTCTTTTGGAAACTTTGGTGGGCATTTTTAAGTAAGGTTTAAGAATGCTCAGCACACAAGGTAGTTACTACTATAAGAAATATGAAATTACATTTTTACATGAAGTTTTACTGGAAGGTCTTATCTGTGATCACAGTCAGTTTCTGACGTAATCACATTGAGATGTGAATGTTAATCTCTCAAGAGTTGTTGTTGTTTCATAAAATAGAACCTGTAAAGAAAATCCAAATACAGCAGTTAGGCCACACTCATAGACCCTTTGTAATAGTCAAATCAAGTTAGGTACTATCCATTCACTTCCTCTATCATGAAAGAAATGAAGAAATAGATAGAAAGCTCTGTCGATGGGGAATCTACCATCTACCTGCTAAGACAAGGCATTCATACAAAAAAATAGCAAAAACATTAGCACAAATTTGCTATAAGTGCTAAAAATTCAGAGAAAGGAGAGATCCTTGGGGAATTAAGTAGATAGAGAAAGCTTAATGGGATTTAAGTTATGTAGGATTTGGATTAACAGAGAGGAGTGAAAAAAGGAAAACAGGTAAGAGAAGGGGCAGAATGATGGAACAAGATGTAAATGAGCATGTGGGGGACAATAAGTGGAGGATTTCTATATGAAAATAGTTTATGATAAGGTTGGATGGGTACTGTAGAGTTTATGAAAGGTCCTAAATGCTAGGTTGAACTAAATCATTCAGGTAGTAGGAAATTACAGCAGGTTCTCAGGTGGGGAGTAAAATGTATGATAGTGGTGGAAGAAGGATCATAACAAGTGGGTAAATTCAAGAGTCGTTTCTAAGTAGATTGAGAAGACGGTCATTGACTGGACATACAGAACAAAGGAAAAACACTCAGCAGCTTTGAGCCTAGGGGAATTTGGAGAACAGTAATACTGTTAAGAGAAAGGGAAAAGATAAAACAAGAACTTCATACATTGTAAAAGGTGACAGGCTCAGTTTTGGACTTAATGAATTCAAGTGGAAGAGTCATAAAGTCAACCAAAAATATGGAGCTGGGGCTCTGATATGAATTTATCAACATAGCAGTAATGGCTATCTAACTGAGAAGATGGATAAGCACTCTGAGGGAGTAAATGAAGAAGGATAATAATAAAAGTTTCATATATATGATGCTTTAAAATTTACAAAGCATTTTACACAATTTACCTCATTTGATCCTGCTATTGTAGAGAGTTGCTATTATTATCTTTATTTAACAGATGAGAGAACTGAAGCTAAGAAAGGTTCAGTGACTAGCCCATGGTCATACAGCTGGGAAGTGTCTGAATCAGGACTTGAACTCAGATCTTCCTAATTAAAGGAAGATGTGCCATTCTGCCACCTATCTGCCTCAAGAGAAGAGGTCTCCTGAGGGGCAGCTAGGTAGCGTAGTGGATAGAACACTGGCCCTGGAGTCAGGAGGACCTGAATTCAAATCTGACCTCAGACACTTGACATTTAACAGCTGTGTGACCCTGGGCAAGTCACTTAACCCCCTTGCCCAGACCCCCCCAAAAAAGAGAGAGAGAAGAGAGAGAGAGAGAGAGAGAGAGAGAGAGAGAGAGAGAGAGAGAGAGAGAGAGAGAGAGAGAGAAGAGGCCTGAGGATGGAAACTTTTAAATATGCTCATGGTTAATGGAATAAAAAAAAATTAAACTTGTCAGGGAATGTGTTAAGATAGTTACGAAAAGAACCAGGAGAAGCCAGAATAAAGAGAAAGCATGAAAGGCCAGCTTCCTGAAGGGGAGGATGATTCATCAAAGAGACCAAAGAGGAGGATGACTAAGAATATCTTGTATAGTGTTATTACATGTAGTAGAAGCTCTTTGCTGAATGAATTGGAATTATTGGTTTTGGGTAAAATTCTGATTGATGAATAGTGAAGGGGACTGATTAGACAAAAACATCACCTAGCTCTATGACACAGAATTCAAAACACAACTGAAAGTGAGTATAGCATAGTGGGTAAAATACTGCCATACAAATAGGAAAATGGAGAGAAGATGGCACTAAGGAGACCCAGTAAAACCAGATTGCAGGGGATTAAGGAAGTGGATTGTAGGAAAATAAAGAAAGGAGACTGTAAATAAAGACTTTCTTAGAATAAGCATAATTTCAGAAAGCCTGAGCAAATCCTTCAAGTGTTTGGGAAATGGAATAAAATGCTGAATGAAAGCAATCTTTTAGTTGCTATATTCCTATGTGAAGCCCAGAGAGAAGGCAGCTTTATTCCTCTCATTGTGGCAATTAATTAGTTTAGAGAGTAATAGGGAAAACAGGGGAAATGAAAAAAAGGAAAAAGAAGAATATGCCTTTAAGAAGTATATTTTTGTCACGTGAGCAGAACAATCAGTGTCACTTTCTTTATCATCATCTTTATCATTTACTTAGCATTCTCTTAACAAGAACAATTAGGAAGTAAAAATCCAATTTATCTCTTTTTGGCATAGGTTCTTAGCTTTTTGTGTGTGTATATGTGTTATGGTTCCCTCTGGCAGTTCGGTGAAGCCATCTCAGAAGAACGTTTAAAACATAAAATTGGGGGAAAAATCCTCTATTACAGCTTTTTATAAATATAAACTTGTAAAATTCAAATGTATGAAAAGCTAAACTGACAAAAGAGGTGACTGAGGAATATTTATTCATATTAGATAATATTCATATTAATTATAATATAACACTAATAATACCTACATTCAACAAACATTTATTATGTGCCTACTATGGGCAAGGCACTGAGAGTACTAACACAGATCCTGTACATGACCTTGTACTTGGTATGCTTTGTCCCCGGGGACACAAAGATGAAAAGCATATAGCTGTTGGTGCTAAGGAGCAACAATTTAGGAGGGGAGAGAAAATCTGAACACAAGATGGTCTAACACAAGGGAGGACGTAACAAGTACCACCTAAGAGGCACAAACAAAGTGCCATGGGAAATCAGAGATGGGAGAACTAACTTCAGGCTAGGGGGAAACAAGGGAAACAATTATGGAAAAAGTACAAGTCTTAAATAATCTATAGGATTTCAACAATTTGAGGGTTGGGAAGAGGGTAGGACATACCATGAGCAAAGCCACCTAACTAGGAAAATTTGAAGTATGTTTGGGCAACAGTAAATGATCTAGTTTGACTACAGCAAAAGGGATATGGAAGAGTGAGTTATGGCCAGATTGTGGAGAGCTTTGCATGCCAGCTTAAGAGCCACTAAAGGCTTCTGAGCACAAGTATGCCATGATTAGAACTATGTTTTAGGAAAATGAATATGGTGGGAGTGTACACAAAGTACAATGGAAATCGATGAACCAATTAGAAGGCTATTGCCATAATCTACATGAGACGTACTAAAGGCATGAAATAGGATGATGGCAAGGGAAAAGAGAGGAGGTGATAAATAGGAAAGATGCGGCAGAGGTAGAATCTACAGGTCATGGAAATTAATTGAATGGTAGGGGTCGAGGCAAAGGGGGGAATAAAGAACAATTACTAAGTTTTGAGCCCCAGGTAACCATTCAAAGTGATGGAAGGATCAGGAGGAGAAGCAGAGTCTTTGCCTATTTTGTATGAATTCAGCTTTAGACATTATGAACTTGAAGTATAAGGAGAATGCCCAGTGGTAACTGGAAATGTGTGACTTGAACTCAGGATGAAAACAAGAAGATACAACAAAGAAGTAATGGTGGGAGCTGTGGGACGGATAAGATCATAAATTCAATTCAACAATATTACGTACCGCAAGAGGAGGAAAGGAGATTTAAAAGGCAAGAGAAAAGGCTATAATTCCCACTAAATGCTGAAAGATGGACTAGATGAGATTCAACATTTACATCAAGCCCTATTATTGTTTTACGTAGTCCAGAAAAATTATCTACATAATTCCCCTTGAGGGAGGGACTGAGATGAAATTCAGGAATCAACGTTTAAATTGGTGTAAGTTTCCTTTGTCTTCTTAATCGCTTTCCATAAGAGGCATTGACAAACAGTAATTTGTCCAAAAAAGACAAAACAGAAAAGAGGATATTAGATAGGATGTCACTCTACTTCTGAAGAATTAAGAAATGGATATGTATTTGTATTTTATGTTTGCTTCACTTTTTCCCCCCTTTTTTAGACCAGACTCATGATATAGGGAACTAAATTCCAGATGAGAAAACTCTCTTTCTAAGGCAGGGCCTCACCTACTCTGCACTATCAATCTTAAGAGAATTGTCTAGGGTACTAAGAGAACTGAAGTAACTCACCCAGGGTCACATATGCAGTTTGTAGCAGGGATGGGACTTGAACCCTGGTGTTCCTGACTCCTAGGTTCACTTTCCTCTATCCATTATGCCACACTGACTCTCATATAAGTTTCATATACTGCATTTTTTAAAAATTATGACACAACTCATAACTAGGAGAAAAAATTATTTCTTTAAATATAAATAATAATAAAATTATGTTTTCCTATAGGATACCAGGCATTGTGCCTATTTACAGCTCATCATCCACTATTTTTTTCTATAAAACTTTAAAATACCATATTATAATCACATGTGTCTTCAGAAACCCCAAAGAAGCTATGTCTCTAGAATTTTATCTAAAAATTAAAGAATGTTAGTTTTGGGTTGTGATTAACTATAAATTTATACATTACATATATGTGAGATATTATGCAATGAGGGGCTATATTTTTCTGGTAACAATAAAAAATTATGTTTAGAACATTATAATTATTCTAAAATTAAGTTCTTTGGCAAGTCCTTTCATCATAAAGATAACTGACTACTGTCAACTGTTCAAAAAAGCCTATATGAATCCTTAATGTCTCATATATAAAACTATAGCTAGAGGATGAATTTTCAGAGAATTAATTTTTGTTTCTACTGGCTTAAGGAACTGTAAGTCTTACCTCTTTCCATACAAATGGAAAAATATTGCAAGTATAGATCAGTTTTCCCAAAATAGCTGTTCAAACCTTTTCTGCTTTCTTTAAGTTCCCAAACTCACTTCTCCCTCCTCTAAATTATCAGGAGATATTCCCATTTCCTAATTTACTGAGGAGATTGGGAACCTCTGATATGAAATGTCTCAATTTCTTTTCTTCACACCTTGAAATACCTTCTTAAAATATTTTATTTTCCCCCATTACATGTAAAACAATTTTTAACATTCGTTGTTGTTTTTTTTAAGTTTTGAGTTCCAAATTCTATCCCTTCCTTCCTCCTCTCCTCCCACCCTGAGATGGCAAGCAATCTGATACTGGTTATACATCAACATATCTTTAAATCTCATTACCATATCTTCTTTTTCTCCTGTCTCAGAAGTAGAGCTGTCTTTTCTCCTCTCTAACTCTTCTACAGAATATTTAGAGCAATGCTAGGGGTTAGCCCAGTGCCTGGCACACAGTAAACACTTAAAGAATGTTTGTTGACTAACTGATGAAAGCTTAAAATATCACCTAATCCATCATTTTACCTCCAAATGAGACTGTACTTAAGAACTTTTTTTTTCTTCACAGACATTTTTGGACTTGGGAATATGCAAAAAGTAGTACTGAGTGTCAGAAAGTGGAGAGGAATACTACAAGGTTCTGTACCTAAACTTATATAAAAATGGTTTCCTATTCTCTACTTTAGGCTTCCCAGAAAAAAATAGATTATGTCACCTCTCTTAGAAGTCCATTCTTATATCGTACAATCGCACATTTAAGGAGCTCTTTTAATCTCTAATTGGAATGCTTCTCACAATTTCCATTATTCCTTCTAACCCTGTTCTTCAAACAAAGAACTGAACATTATGAATTGGAGCCTGACTTGGTGATTTTGTCAGTTGCTAATGGTTTCTCTCTATCAAGCCTATGGGATAAAAGCAGGCATAAAGCAATATCATATTATGCATGGAACGGTCAACCATTGTGACTGACAAATGGACAAATGTAGGGAGAACTGAAACTTTGTGAAAAGAAGGAAGCACAGACTGACAAACATGCAACAGGCAACAAGTCAAAAGTGGTGACTGCCTTATAAATAAAGCTTTGGTGGATAAATGCCACATTTCTAAATGAAAGTAGATGCACTAGTGAACTTAATGTCACTCGTTTCTTATCAACCTAATTCAGGCAGGGGAAAAATTACCTTGATAGTAGTCTTAGCGTTCTATTACTAATCTCTGTGTGAGCTATATTCAGATGAGTAAGAGCTGGGCAGCCTTCTGACACATATCTCATTACTTCATCCTAAAGAGAAACAAACAAACAAAAGATACTTATCAAAATCTAATGTGATTTGTGGCCTTCCCATTTTCTCCCTATCTCTTCTACTCAGCTCCTAAGGAAACACATATTTATAGTTTTAGCACACACACACAAAAAAGAAAGATGATAGTATATAATCACATTAAATTTGATAAATCACATTAAATGCATCAACTTGTTCACTCCCTACAACACCTCTGAGGTAGTTATTATAGATATTATTATCCCCATTTTGGCAGCTAGGTGGCACAGTGAATAGGGCCCCAAATCTAAAGTCAGGAAGACTCATCTTCATGAGTTCAAATCTGGCCTCAGAGACTTACTAGCTGTATGACCCTGGGGAAGTCACTTAATCCTATTTGCCTCAGTTTCCCCATCTATAAAATGAATTGGAAAAAGAAATGTCAAACTACTCCATGATCTCTGCCAAGAAAACCCCAAATAGGGTCATGAAAAGTTGGAAACTACTGAAAAACGAATGGACAACATATCCCCATTTTACCAACAAGAAAATGAAGCCTTAGAAAAGTGTCCAAGGTCACAGATTCATTCTTAGGTGTTGCCTTGACTATAACTTCAGTTCTTTTTCCATTACACAATGCTGCTTCATACTTACATAGCACAACTGTTTTCAGTCTGTGCTGGCTAATTAATTGAGGCACTAATTGATTTTGAGTAGAAAACTACACTTTATTTTGCAGCTACGTTTATTCAGTCTATTAACTTTATTTGGAAATGATCCATTCCGTTCCTCTGCAATACCAATTTCTCATTTAAATTTAAACTACTCAAAAACCTGCTCTAGGATGAGAAAGTAAGTGCTTAGGTGTCAAATGTCAAATTGCCTTAATTATAAAGATATAAAAACTGCCTACATTTGACACAACAGAAAATTCCAGAAAACAGGATTACTATCAACACGTAGGAGGGAGGAGATAAACATTTATTAAGCACCTAATATGTGTTGGGCACTGTGCTAAGCACTTTACAAATATTATCTCGTTTGACCCTTTATCTTCCTCATTTTACAGTGAAAGAAACTGAGGCAAAAGAAGATATGTGATTTGCCTAGGGTCATACAGCTACTAAGTGTACGAGGCTGGAGTTGAACTCATTTTTTCCTTACTCCAGGCCTAGTGCAACAACTGTGATCCATGGCTATTTCCTTATTTTAAAAGTTTGTGGCATATTACAAAACTCAGCCGTAATTTTAAGTTCTATACCCGGAAAGACAAGCTCAGTACAGGTATTTAGCTACAGTGTTTTAAAAGAGTAAGTGACTATATATCTAAGAGGGTGAATAAGTGGCAAGTATAGTCCTGCTGCCCAGGTGGTCATGCCCAACACAGCAGAGGAGGCCTAGGCCAAGTCTACACCTACCAGAAGCTAGGAATGTTTATTTGTAGTATCATTTCCAGTAATAATCATCCTGTCTCAAGTATTTCCATGAGTCATAAAATAGCATATAGCTAGGGCAGGTCAACAAGAGCCCTCTCTACTATGAGAGGGGCTGGTCAAAGTGCCAAGGCAATGGAATTGTATGTCCTGTGTGTCTACACAGATTTGTCCATAGAGTGATTGAGCTAAAGTCCCACGCATCCCTAGCTATAGGAAAAGCTCTGAGTGCAAGGACGCTTCCTGAAATATATCTTCCAGGCTTTCAGTAAATGATGCAACACTGCTAACGTATTGGACATGTAAGTAAGAAACCCTGTCCTTCCCTCTGCTGGACTGGCAAGACTCCCTCTCTGTGAAGTATTTGGACACTGCTACCCATCTTTGGTTACAGGTGGAATCATCTAGAAAGTGTAAGATCATTTTTGTGGGAGGAAAGGGGAAGGACAGAAAACTAGTGTTATGAAAGGAGTAGAAAACTAAGTATGTTTTTTAAAATGCTGTGCCAACTGAAAGCACTATATTACACTGGCACTCAATGAAAGGTACTAGCAAAGCAAATTAATAGAGAACAAAAGGAAGACAGGAATATTAGCTTACAACTTCTTCAGCTACTGATACAGAGAAGAAAAGGTGGCCTCTCAGCAAAGAGAAGTAGGAGACAGGAATTGTTGATCTGCCACAGAATGGCAGCCCTTTAAGGTATGTCAAACTAGAAAGCAGTCAGCTCCCTGTTCTTCTCTGTCTAGAAAAGACAGATGTCAAAACAAGTTCAGATCAGCTATACCCTCTGTTTCTAAAGTGACCTAAGAATTGTTTTCAAAGTGACTAAGCATATAAATACAACATTAATAAATATTTGAGGGCCTATAACAGTTTGCAAATGTGTCTATGATGTTCAGTAGAATTTTTTTTAAACATAAAACCTTAGACAATTTTCTGTAAGAAACTGAAGCATGTTGAATGAATATAGTTCTTTAAATGTAACCTTGCATGTTTTCCCCTGAAAACAATAGTAAAATCTGGATGGAATTAGCAGTGCCACATATTATTAGAAATTATAGCTGGTAAATACTTTGATGTTTCCAAATTTGATGCAGATGTCACTGAGGTTTGACTTTCTCACTAGACTAGCAAATTCAAGGAATATTTAAATTTACTTGAGACATAACAGGCAAATTACAACACAAACTAAGTCTTATACATCTAGCTACTTCCCACAGTGCCTAGCACAGAGTAGGTTCAATAAATATTTGCTAAACGAATGAATCAATGAATGAATGAATGAAGGAGATTTGGCAGAAGTGACTATAGCTAGAGAAAACCATCTGGAGAATGAGGGAGGGAAAATTTTCTGTCTTTTTGATGGGGCAAGCATATTTTCATTTTGTAAAGAAGTAACAATACAAGCAAAGAGAATGAAACTCCTCTTTCTGATGTAGCTTTTTACTGGTTATTGATGTCTCTCAACATTATGAAGTACCCTTCAGGGAACTATATCAACATAAAGAAGCAACCTAATCACTTCAAAGTAAGTATCTGTGACTTAATAACAGGGCATAATGGAAAGAGTGCTAGGCTTGGAGTCAGATATCCAGTTTCAAATCCTGACTAGTCTTATCCTTCTTGTATGCTCCTGAACAAATCACTTAACTTCTCTGGACCCCATTACCTCATCTGTGAATTGAGGAGATGGGTTAAACAACTTCCAAGGACTCTTACAACTTCAAATCTTGATAATATTATCCATTGGTTATTCACAGGTGTTTCCTCTATGTTGGTGAGTACAAATAAAACAGCTAATTTAAATCCACAATGATAATAACTTAGTAGGCAATAGGGAAGGAAGAGGAGAGGCTTAGCACAATTAAAAGCACTTGAAAATTATATGTATACACATTGTATTTATATTTCATTTGTATTTTTTCCACACTCAAAAATAACATTTTTACCATCAAAATTGAGGAGGATGGGGTGGATTATATGAGGAAATTGCTGCCAGATGCTGTGAAAACTGGAGACCACCATAACTGCTCAGCTAGTAGCCAAGAGTTAGCAGTAGTCTCTCTCAGTGGAAAATCTCTGAAGAAATGACAGAAATAGTCGAAGAGGTCTGACCAGTCATAACTGTACCCAGAAAGGCAAAGACTGAACATTATCTATGACACCTTGTATATTATGTCTATTTAGTAAATATTTGTTGAATTGAATTGAATCAAGTTATTTGCACTTAGAACAGTGCCATGCACATAGTAGACTCTGAGGTAATATATGCCACATGAATGATTATGCACCCTTTTTCATTTACTTTTGGCAGAAATGGTTCTTTAAAAATCTTAATGCTTTGTCATCATCTCTTACCAGCCACTGAGAGGTATGGCACTATTGCTACTGATAACTGGAAAACATCTGGAAGGAAATTATATTTAGAAAGAAATTTAATTTATTTTTTAGATTAGGAAATACAACCTAGGGTGGTAGATGAGACAGGGAATCTGTGATTATGTCATATGTATGTATAAAATAAGCAGATAGATGTACATATGTATATATGTTTCTCTAAATATACATAAATATACATATAGCCCTATAAAAAGATAAGAAGCAGGTTTGATTATCTCTGTTTTACAGATAAATTGAGAAAATAAATCCTTAAAGTACTTGCTTTTTTCAGAATTCAAACTAAAATATACCATCTGTAACTTCATATAATAATGCTCTTTTTTTTAGTGAACAGATATTTAATTAAGGTCCAAGTTACTAAAAAAAAAATTGTATTCATTGTCACTTCCCCAAATATTTATCAGGGGCAAGTAAACCAGCATAGGACCAATCTATTCATTGAACTTATTTTAATGACTGATGCTCTACAATGAAGTTCTATTAGGATGCTTCATTGTGGCAAGAAAGTGATTTTGATTTTTCAAAGTCTATGCCTTTGGGGTTCATACACTGATAAGCCTGATTAAGCTGGAAAGACTGGGGGGATGAGGTTAGTGATGGACTATAGCTCAGCCTAGCCAAGAGAGGCTCATTGCCAGAGAGCTAGCCAGCAGAGGAGAAGGTTTTTTTAGCCACATCAAGTCATAAAGATCATTTACTAAGGCTGGAAAGATTTTGGTTAAGTGTGGGACTGAATTCCGTGAATAAGAATGTTGTGAGTTATACAGATCACTGACAACCAATTGCATGGAAATGGAATTTGGAAATATGGCCCATAACATGTATGTGTGTGTGTATGTGTGTGTGTAGGTATGTATGTATATGAATGTATGCATACGTATCTATGAATGTGTATATATTTAACCAGTTTTCATTGGCAAAGGGAACACACTCTGAGGATACTCCCTCTGTTAACTGCTCATTTCTCTGCAGCTCATAGTCCTAGAGAGTTGCCTAAGATTATAAATATGGTTCATTTTAATGTAATCTTTGGCTTATATAAGTTTGCCAGCCTTGATAGCAATAAGCACATTCCTTCAAGATCACCATTAAACACAGGGATAGAAATTTCTTGCCAATTTTAAGCAGCTTGCCTAACTCTCCTAGAATTAACCTCCAATCTTTAAAATAAACACATGGACGGGCAGCTAGGGGCGCAGTGGATAGAGCACTGGCCCTCAATTCAGGAGGACCTGAGTTCAAATCCAGTCTCAGACACATAACACTTACTAGCTGTGTGACCCTGGGCAAGTCACTTAACCCCATTGCCTAGCCAAAAAAATAAATAAATAAAATAAAATAAACACATGGAGTATAACTTTCTTTTGGTAGCATTCTTAAATATATATTGGTACTCCAAATTATAAATGCTAATACTCATTCATTCTTTCTCTCTCTCCATATACATATACATATGTATGTATCACATATATACATACACCATACACACACACACACACACACACACACACACACACACACATACACACACACACACACACCCCAATGCTCATATAGGAAAAAAAAAAGGTGATACTCACATTTAATCCTTCGCATTCAGAGACATTTAGTTCTTGCAAATTTTTACACTGACCTAAATAAACACCATGTTATAAGATTTACTGCACACATTTAAACTTTTTTTAAGAGTATAAATAAGAGTGAGATTCCGTGAAATGTAGCATATTCATTAGACAACAAGAAATTTTGGCAAGCAGTTCACTCTAAGTATATGCCTGCTTTTCCAAGGAAGTGGCTCCTCTTGGCCTAAAATTACAATATGCAGACAAGCTTATAATTTCATGAAGATAAAAAGGGGAAGTAGAAAGAAAGAAATTATTCATTTCAGAATAACAGCATACATCACAGCCTTGAGCCTTCAAAACACTTCAATAAAACCAACTCTTGTATTTCCACAGCACACCTTGGAAATTGGCACAAAACCCTCCATTCACCAAAATGAACAGTTCATATAAGTTGCTCAAGGGCAAATTACAAATCATCACTAAAAATACTACAAGCAAAATCTCCAGACATTTATTATTCAAGAAATATTTAGTTATGATGATAGTGAAGGGGAGGGGACAGAGAGGACAACTCAAAGAAGATAAGACATGGCTTCTGTTCAATAGAAGCTTATATTTACCCAGAAAGGTAAAATATGATTTTTTTTTAAAAAACACTCTAACATATTACTTTACATATAAATACCATATGAGTGACACAGATAATAATGATGTGGCACAGATGTCCGGGGGAAAGTGAAATCACTCCATCTCAGTCATCAGGGAAGACATCATGGAGGAGTTGAAGCTTGAGCTAGGCCTTAAAAGATGAGCAGGATTTTTGTTTGTTTGTTTGTTTGTTTGTTTTAAGCAATTGGGGTTAAGTGACTTGCCCAGGGTCACATAGCTAGTATGTGTCAAGTGTTTGGTCTGAGGCTGGATTTGAACTCAGGTCTTCCTGACTTCAGGGCCGGTGCTCTATCCACTGCGCCACCTAGCTGCCCCCCTTTTTTTTATTGTGATGAGCAGGATTTTGATGAGAGGTGAGCAGGCATGCTAGGTGGAGCAACAAGATAAGGTAGACCAACACAAGGTACGAATATATTTCTGCTACTTAAATTCAAAGGTAGCAGGTCCTCTTCTCATGTCAAAACAAGCCTCAATGAATAAGAAAAATTATGTTATTAATTATACATACATAGAAACACAAAGAGGCAGAACATAGCAAATAGTGTGCTGGGCTTAGATTCAAATCCTATCTCCTGAGATTAATTGCATGACTCAGGGTCTAAGTCCCTTATACCATAATGCCTCAGACAACCTAGGGTTTATCTGCCTCATCCTAGCTGTGTTTCCACTTGCTGATGGAAGGATCCTTTCACTGATGAAATGACACATCTTTCATACATTTGCTTAATTATAATTCTATCCTAAGTAACATTTCTTCCACTGTAAAAGAGTAGACCACCTCCTAAATTAATGATGCAAACCAGAAGTATGTTAAGAACCAAAAAATAGAAAGAGACCTTTGAAAGAAGTGTTGATCTTGGAAGTCATCAGTAGCACAACTTAAGGAAAATATAGATTCCAAAAGCAATACATGTTAACTGGATTTGGGTGAAAAATATTTTTCCAAGTCTGAACAACTGCCTGAGAGTAGTGAGACTATCCTTCCAATTTTAAAATTAGGTTTCAAAGATTCTGTCTTCATCAATAAGTACTTATTAGTGCCTAGGATTGTGCCAGGTTCTGCACTATGTGCTGGGGATACAAATAGAATGAATGAAATAATCCCTATTTGCAAGAAGTTTACATTGTAACAAAGGATACAGCAAGAAAATACAAAAGTATGCACAGAATATGTATACATACATACAATACATAAAGAATAATTTCAAAGACAATTAATGCAAATAAATACAAAGTTGTTAAATACAAGGTAGTTTGAGAGAGAAAGATCTAGCCATTGGAGATATCAGAAAGACTTCATGTAGCAGGTAGTACTTGAGCTGAATCTTGAAAAGAGGAATTTCATGGGATGGAGGTGAAGAGGGAGTATGTTACAAGCACGGAGGGCACTCAGTGCAAAAGCAGCTAGATCAGAGACTGAATACACGTGTGAGCAACAGAGAGATGGCCAGTTTGTCTGGATTGCAGCATATGGGAGGATTAATGTCCAAACAACTTCAGAAAGATAAGTTGGAACAAGGTTGTGAAGAGCTTCAAAAGTTAAAATGAGGATTACACAGACATGGGAGTTGGCTGAGCTGGGCAATGCCACAGACAGATCTACACTTTAGGGACATTGATAATTTGGAGACAAGATCTAGATGATGAACCAGCAAAGGAGAAGTTATTAACTGAGATACCCTGTGTGATAACTGGCTTATTGGGTGTGTATTTCCCTCTGACAATACTTTTTCTGTTTGCTGAGTTTTAAAAGGTATTGCCACTAATTATTATTGTTGACTCATGATGTTCAAGGAAACAAACATAATAGACTCAATCACTTCTCATCTAATCACAGCCGAAAGTAAATTCAAAAGATTCTTTTCCTAAACCCTACTTATACTAACAAGTCAGTTCCCCAGAGCAAGATTGCATCTCCCTTTCGAGATCCTGCAAGTACAGTGTGATTCTTCTCTAACAGTATCAACTTGAAGCCCCATTCCAGTGTGTTGTCCCTAATGTCAATTCCCAGAGATTAGTACTCCAATTATCATTTAACCAATTACCATACATTTTCCCTAATACCTGGGAGCATACTCTTATCTATACCACACTTTGATCCCTGGGGAGAGTGGACTCCAACTTAAAGTGGTTGCTACAAGGCATTTGCTCCCAAGTTCACTTGCAAAGGTGGCATGGCCAATCAATGAACTGCTGTGGCTCCCTCTTGGCTACCCTTCAATCAATGCTAGGTCAAAAACATTGCTAAAGACTTCACCCCTCACTATCTAGGCTTGTCACAAAATCTAGGATAGACTATACCTCCTGGGCATCTGGTATCTGAACTCTTCTGAACTCTCAGCGCTCAGTAGGTCATAGTTGTCTCCAGTATATTTTCACCTAAAAGATGGAAAAAACAAATGCAAAGAGAAAAACAGAAATCTATATTCACGGCCCACAGGTCAGCCCTGGGTAGGGAAGACGTAAGGCCTCTCCCCATCCAAAAGCTGGATATCTCTCTCATCAGAATTCAGGTAATAGCAGAAAACTTATTTTCGCCAGTCAGCACCTTTTGAATGTACCCTAGTCCTGGCTCAGTAGCCAATCAAAAGTCTGTCTCTTCACCATGTGCTTGGTGAACAGACACGAGACCAAATGTCTGCACATGCTCCATAGTCCACATCAGCTATGCCCATTGTGCATTCTCATAAGAGCTAGCCTCATTGGCCAATCCTCCCTGTTACATAAGAATCATAATGGCAAACTAATGACAAAAACGGTGATAACGTAGCAGTTTACATTTGTCAAAATCTGGGTCTAGGTTATGCCTGGTTTGGAGTCTTAATTGTTGGGCAAGTGGGTTACATTTTACTTTTCTATCATATAATTTCATTATTTATAATAAGTACTCACAAAGGACGTGAGTAAATAAACATTTATTAAACAATTACTATGTGCCAGGCACTGTGCTAAGGGCTAAAGGAAAGTCTCATTTCTTAAGGCGCTGACAGTCTAGTAAGGGAGACAACATGTAAACAAACAGGTATATATAAGAGACATGCAAAGTAGATGGAACATAACCTCAGAAGGGAGCGGCCCCAGATTGGAAAAGCCCTTCTCCATATGGTAGATGGATTGAACTGAGTCTTGAAGAAAGCCAGGGAAATGAAATAATCAATCATTGAGTATTTATTAAATACCAAGCACTGAGGAGTCAAAAAGAAAAGTAAAACGGTCCTTGCCCTCAAAAGAAGCTTACATTTTATTACGGGAGACAACGTGGACACATATATAGCAAATATAAAAATACTAGATAATTTGGGGTGGGAAGGCACTAGAAACTGAGGGGATGAGGCTTCATGGAGGAGAATTTATTTGAATTAAGTTTTCAAGAAAACTAGGAATTCTAAGAGGTAGTGGTAAGCAGGAAGGATGTTCCAGATATAGAGTATATCCTATGCAAAGGAACAGAGATGGGAGATAGAATGCCATGTGTGAAGACCAGTTTGGTTAGATCACAGAGTTTTTGAGAAAGAACAATAATTAATAAGGCTCTAAAGGAAAGCTGGAACCTAGTTGTAAACGTTTTTAAATGGTAAATAGAGGAGTTTCTATTTTATCCTAAGGATGACAGGAAGCCACAGCAGTTTACTGAGTGAGGAAGTGACATGATCAAACCTATGCCCTGGGAATCTGCATTTGACAGCTGTGTTGTGGGTGGAGCAGACAGGATATTATTGTAACCATACAGGCAAGAAGTGATGAGGACCTGAACAAAGGTAGTGGTCATGTGATTAGGGAAGAGCCAGATGAGAGAGAGGTGCACACAGAATCAATAAAACTTAGCAACTGACTGGATATAAGGGTGAGAGAGAGTTAGAAATCTAAGATAACCTTGAGATGGCAAAATTGATAGACTAGGAAAAATGGTGGTGCCCTCACAGAAATAGCAAAGTAGAGAAGAATGGGATTAAAAAGGGAAAAGAGTGAGTTCTGTTTTGAATATGTTAAGAAGGAGATGCCTAGGGGACATCTAATTTGAACTCGTCAGTAATGAGAGACAAGCTCAGGAGAAAGACTGGCTAAATATAGAGATCAGGAAATCATCTGCATAAAGATAATAACTGGACAACTAACAAACCACAGATATTACAAAATCAAAATTAAACACATGGAAAAAATTAACATCAGCATAATGAATTTATAAAAATAACCAGCAATTAAGGCAAAGTATTTGTTATCATAATGACCTGTCTACAATGTAATGGTCATAAAAGCAGATTTAAATCTTACTTTTTATTTCTATTTCCTTCCTTTAAAAAATCCATGCTTTTTTCACCTGTAAAGAAATCATCACAAAGGATATAAATCAAGCTACTCAACAGTTTTATTATTTTAGTCCGTATTCTTTATTTAAATATACTCACAATTGTTATTGTACTGTGCCTTACTGGTCTGATATTATTAGGGAAATAGCCGTTACACATTAATGAGCTTTCAATATAATTAAAGCTTAGTCTTAGTTAAACTTCAAATCTATTCATTCTGATATACAGAAATTATAAAATGTTATTACCAGGAGGGACCATTAAATATTATTATTTTAGTACAACTCTCTTGTTTTACAGGTGAGGAAAAAGATTCTACTACAAATCTTTCTAAGATGTATTATACATTTCTCTACTTTTTAAAAAAAATATAGCATATAGGACATAGATATAAATCTAGAAGGATATTTAAGATCATTTGGTCCCACTTCATTTTACAGACAAGAAAGTTCAGGCCTGGAGAAGTTAATGACTTGCCCGAGGTGACATAGGGTAAGCATGTGACAGAGCCAGAATTCAAACACGGATCCTATAGAATCATTTACAATATATGATAATGATTTTTATTATTCAATTATATTATATATTAATTATGTATTATGCATAATATACAATGATTGTGTATTATGTATTATCTATTAATTATTATTATTTGAAAAATTAGTTTCATTATTTAACCTTTTTTAAAATATAATTTAATTTTTTTGATGATGGGTCATAAATGTAAAATATGGCCTAGTCTAAAAAAATAGTGGTTTCTAACATTTTCACATATAACAATACCTTCACATCAAAAATTTAAAACACAATAGTAGTTTCTCTCTCTCTCTCTCTCTCTACACACACACACACACACACACACATACATATTCATATGTCCACTGGTTGAGAAAAAAGAATGCTGCTGTGAATTTAGTAACATTCAAATTAACTTATATTTTGTTAATCATAATAGCATCTTACATATACATAAAAATAGTAACATATATGAGCCAGAATTCAGTCTAAAGAAGGTATTTTTAATGGACTTACATATTGACAAGATTTTGGGGAACCGGGACCCCAAGAATGACAAGGCAGAGTTGCCTGGAATGAATTCACACACTCAAACCTCCTCTTAGTCAAGCAGTAAAATTATTGTAACACTTGAATAAAAGCAGGAAGTGTCCTTACGGGAACCTTCGGGAGACTGAGGATGGTGCTGGGGTTTTTGTGGAAAAGAGGTATGGGAAAGGAACGACAGGGATACTAACTGGGTAATCTAAGGGTCTGGGTGTCTTTTGGAGCTATGGATGGGAAAGTGCAGGTAGTATACCAGACATTGAGGGAGTTGTCAGAGGCATGGACCTTGGGGATTTAGCAGGAGGAAGAGTTTTTGGACCAACCAGCGACTAAAATCTTTGGGCCAGGCACCCCTGTCTGTTCTGTTAAGAGAATGTGTTTTGCAAGTAGGACGGTGCCTCTCACAGGATGGTGCCTACTGAAAAATTGGGAGGCTTCCAGAGACATGATCTTAGGACTGGAGCCTGAGTATCCCATCAATATGAATTCAAAGATTCTTTGCAGTCATTCTAAGATGCCCAAGGGTCTGTGACCCATGGGGTCATTGAGCAAGACTGCTCTTTCCCAGAACTAAGCAGCCCCAGACGGCTGTGGCTTCTGTGATTTTGTGCCTGCTTTTTATAGTTTTACTATTTCCCTTGTGTTTAGGCATCAGCTGCTGTTTTTATGTTGCCATTAGTAGCTTGCATAATATAGTGGAAAGGGCAGTAGATTCAAATCCTAAGACCAATACTCCTAGACAGGAGTGTGTTGACAAATGTTTAACAATCGTTTCCTTCAAGAAAAAATATTACAGTAGGACGCATTTTAAGTTTAATCTTCATTATTAACATTTTCTTAAGTCTAGAGCATTGGACCTAGAGTCAAAAACATGAGTTCAAATCAGATCTCTGACACTTGCTAGCTGTGTGACCTTGGGCAAGTTACTTAACTCTGTCTGTCTGTTTTCTCATCAGTAAAATGAGCTGGAGGGAAAAATGGCAGACCACTCCAGCATCTTTGCCATGAAAACCTCATGGACACTATTGGCATGCTATGGTCCATGAGGCCACTAAAAGTTGGAACACGACTGAAAAACTGAACAACAACAGCAAAATCCAGACAATCGGCAAGACAACAAATCCAACCCTAATCTGTAGCATTTTATAATTTTCAAGATATAATGCTAACAGTGGAAACTTAACAATCATAGCTGATTGGGGCTGATTCCAGCACACTCCTGCCACATGCTTATAATCTGTGTAATTCTGGGTAAATAAAGTAATCTCTTTGAGCTTTAGTTTCCACATCTATAAAATAGGAATAAAAACACCTATACTATCTACATACCAAACTGTTGGAGGACAATGTCTTATATGCTTTAAAGTGCTAAATAAATGTTTATAGTTATTAATGTCTTCACTCACCACCCCTTCTGACTGGTGGCTGTGGGATAGGAAATCAAATAATTTCACTCAAATACTAGTAAATCAGACGTGGCTGAGGGCCTGTGAGGGCTATTCTGGGTACAAAGTCCACGAATTTAAATGTATGGACTTTGTAACATTTTCTTTCTTTAGAAACCTTTTTTGCTTCCTTACTGGTTCCTTAGTTTTAGATAATGACACTGAGGTAAGTGAAGCTATGCTTTCATTGGAGAAATGTCTTGTGATTAATTCCTTTTCTCTGCATCCAGAAGACAAAAGTTACTGTAAATTTAAGGCACCTTTTTAGAGTATGTCCTACATAGCACAGAACACTTACCAAAAAGACAATTCACAATCAAGAACAAGTTCCTTCTTAGAAAAGCCAAAGGATAACTGTCTGAAACACCTTCCCAGCTATAAAATATGAATAAGGCCTCTATTTCAAAATTTTTTTCCTGAGGGCACCTACTGTTCACAATTATACCTGAATTTAAAAACCACAGTTAACAGTGAGGTAAAGGAAATGTTTTGATTGCTGTCTGTGTTGATATGAACAAATGTATCTGTATTCTACTTCTGAGGCAAATTTTATTTTGAATATCCTTTTATTTCAGCCTGGAGCTCTTTTTCACCCAAATAGCTTCAGACTCTGATTACCTAGCTAGCTTGTATCTTCTTCCATAAAAATATTGCTCTCACCTGGCTTTCAATTAATTTCTGATAAAGAACTGATAGCTAAGATGTTAGTTGCTGGTATAACCCATTTCAGAAACATTTTCATATTTTAGTGCAAATGTTTAATTTTAATTTAATTTTAAGGTGGCACCTTGGGGATATCTCCCAGTCTTCATGTGGGTCCCCAAAACAAGTCATCTCAGGTTCAAGTTACTCTGTGGGGTTTAAAATTACTCAAAACTATAGTTCACAAGCCCCCATTGATATGCATACTTTTACTAGTCAGTCAGAGGGCACAATCAGTTCAAGTTAAAGTTATTTAATGAAATAGCATAGTAAGAATAAATGCTGAAGCTGAAGCTTAAATACTTTGGCCACATAATGGGAAGACAGGACTCACTGGAAAAGACCCTGAGGCTGGGAAAGGCTGAAGGCAAAAGAAAAAGGGGATGACAGAGAATGAGATAGATAGATAGTGTCATGGAAACAATAAACATGAACTTGGACAGACCTCAAGAGAAAGTGGAGGATATGAGGGTCTGTCGTGCCTATGGGGTCACAAAAAGTCAGACATGACTGAATAACAACAACATGACAAAACAATAATAAAATATTTTCCCCATAAATCTAATGCATGCCTAAAGACTACACATGAAAAACCAAGCATCTTCTTTTTGAACATGTGGCCAAATACAGTACAGGGAACACACAACATATGTCCAAGGTATACATGAAGAGGGGCAACCCATAGCTAGGACACTGCAGGACTACAAAGGTCTTCTGATCATATCATCAAGCCAGGCTAGCTAGGCTTGTTCCCTGTTGACAATACAAAGTGTACAGTCTCCCACTATACAGTCTCCACTAAGAATGAGGGCATGACATGCTATCTCTGCCAGGCATGGCATTAGACTAGATGATGGTTTCATGTAGGTGTTTGTTAATGGTGTTTCACTAGTCCTAAGGTGGGTGCCAGGCATGGTTCTACTCAACACAAAATTGTGGGGGTTCTCTCCACTTCTAGCTTCTAGAGTTGGCTACCATGCTTAGCTGAGGTACTTCTTTCCAATAAGAAGAGAAGTGGGCTCTGCCATCTTTTTTTTTAGCTGAAAGCCCAGAGGTTTTTGCTAGAGTTCTTTTAAAAAAGATAGTGTTAAGACACTCAGTCTTCAGACTAAGGATAAAACCCTGAGCAGTTTTCTCCCATAAATACAATCTATCTGTTCTCAGAGCCTTGGCTATAATTGGCCTTTCTGCCAGAAAATGAGATTCTTTACCATAGGCACCAAGCTCTTTAGAAAACATAATAGCTCTAGCTAATTTATGCCTTAAAGCTTTAAGTCCATTTTTCAACCATGACTTGCTAAAGTCTTTAACAAGGGTAGGGACTCTCCAGAAGCTGAAAACTGACCTAGGGTTAGAAACTCCTTAAGGCCTCTTGCTCAATGTGTGACAGCTAACCTGCACCCAGTCATCATCAGTTTAAAGGTTATTCCTCCAACAAAATGCCAAACTACCCTTCAGTACCTTCCTCGTCCATTACCCCTATTTTGACTTTCCTTGCCTCCCTTTCCAAATCTGACCTTGTGGTTAACAAATTTAACTCTACACTGTCTTCTACTTTCAAATCCTTCACCCTTTTGTTCAATCATTCATTCCATGTCAAATTCAAGCTCTGCATAATTCTCCCCATCTGCCTCCTTTGCTTGTAACGGAGCTGAAAGAGGTTACTTAACCATGCATTCTAGGTACACTACAAATTTATGTTATTTAAGCTCAACTGGGCCTTCACTGCAATTTCTACTTCTCTCCAGTCAGTTTCCTAACTCACTCCCTACAAAATCTATTCCAAACTTTATCTTCTCTTTTTAAACTTCCTACAACTCCCCTTCTCCCAGTCCTCTCAGCTGAGGACCTCACATTTAACTTTACAGAGAAAACTAAGGCCATTCACTGTAAGTTTCCCCATCCTCACTTCTCTTCATCTCAAAACTTCTTACATCATCCCCCCACTCCCTCAGCTGATTGGTTAACTGATTGATTGCTTTTCAAGAATGATTGGGGGGGGGGGAGTGACACTCTTATTAAATGTTTTCTTGAGTATGATGGTTATAGAATAATTAGTGAAGTAAAATAACATAATTCAGAAAATCTTCAGTTCAGGTAGAAAGTAAAATGGAAAATGTATTGTGTCAGTACTCAGCAGGGGTCAGGTTAACAAGTATTCGTGAAATGCCTGCTATGTGTTTAATGTGTGGCATACAAAAGATGAAGAAGATATGGTAACAAATAATGTACTCTTGATATGACTTGACAGAAAATTGAAAATAAGCAAAACGAACAATGAGAAAAAAAGTGTATGGAGGTGCTCTGCTATAGTAGAGAATGTGCTGGATTTAGAATCATCAGACCTGGGCTCATATCCTGAGTCTGCCATTTAATATCTAGGTGAGTTGGGTAAGTCATTTGACTTCACTGGGCCTCAGTTTCCCCAGCTGTAAAATGATGGGATTAGACTAGATGATCTCTAAGATCCCTTTCAGCTCTGAATCTGTGATCCTGTGATCCCTCCGTTATAAACCTCCTTTTGGAAAAAGTTATCATTTCTGTGTGCTATTACAAATGTGATGACTAAATTACATGTATTTACAACATCCTTTTCACATATAGAAAACTGAAAAAGTCATTATGATTTCTAATCTTCTTCTTCTTCTTCTTTTCCAACCCAGGAATTCCATATATTCCAGCTGTATCTCATCATTTCTGAACTACATTAGTTAATATTACAACAACTCATATTTCAAAGAAATCCTTTCACAGTTTCATCTATCACACAAAGTAATTGAGGCCAGCTGGATGTCAGGATGCAAGTGGTTGCTATTATAATACTCCTCTTCTTTTGTAAAACAGCTGAATTTAGGAAGACAAATTTGGGGAGTTCAAGAAGCAAAGCTCACAATGGAAGGGCAAACAATGGCAGGAGGGCCTCTAGCACCGTGAAGCGTTATGCCCCAGGCCTTCCATGTGACGTATATACTTATCTTCATGAAAAATACTTAGATTGTCAAGAAAGAAAACTAGTTTATACTTTGCCTGGTTGGCCTGAGGATTTATTGCACATGCTGCTAGCAAGAAATAGAATCCGTATATTGAAGAATAATATGTTTTCCCAGTTTAAAAAACTGAAAAGCCTGGATTTACAGCAAAACGATATATCCAAAATTGAGAGTGCGGCTTTCTTTGGTTTAAACAGACTTACCACCCTCTTACTTCAGCACAACCAATTAAAGGTACTAACAGAGGAGGTGTTCATTTATACACCTCTTCTAAGCTATCTGCGTCTCTATGACAATCCTTGGCACTGTACTTGTGAGATGGATACACTGATATCAATGTTGCAAATCCCAAGGAACAGGAATCTGGGGAATTATGCCAAGTGTGAAAGCCCACAAGAACTGAAAAACCAAAAGCTGAAGCAGATAAAATCTGAACAATTATGTAATGAAGATGAAAAAGAGCAACCGGCCCCCAAGACTCAAGTATCAGGGAGACCTACACTCGTCAAGCCTGAAGCTGACTCCTCTCTTTGCCACATGTATGTGTTTCCCATACAAACACTAGATTGCAAACGAAAAGGTTGGTACAGAGGGTTTTTTTTTCTTTTTATTAATATGAGCTGTTAAAAGTGATCCTTTGAATTTTGTATTTTCTGTTGGAACTTTCTGATTTTATTTTCTTTGTCTTACTCTCATGGCTATGGCATTTGCTCTGACACATTCTGACCACATTTGGTTGGCAGCAATGCTTGAGGTGGAAGTAGAGCAAGGGGATAGAAATGTTCTAATTCTTCCCATGACTCTCTTGCTTCTGAAAGAGCACAGGCTGCTCCACAAGTTCCCTCTCTCCCCGGTTCTTTCCAGCATCTCCTCTCTTTCTTGACTGCTCTTTCTCCATCTATTCTCCACTCAAAACTGGAAGGGAAGGGGGATGTGTCAGGACAGAGGAAACACCATCAGAGAGGGAACCATTTCAGTTTTGTGTGTGTGTGTGTGCGTGTGTGTGTGTGTGTGTGTGTGTGTGTGTCTTTTAATTCAAGCTCTGGCATATAAGCAATAACTTCATTTCCAGATGTGATTCCATTCCAGATGGAGACAAAAGAGAGAATAAAACTAGGACCCAAATGTGTGCCCCAATAGCCTGACTTACTCTCATTAAGGTGAAAGGCTAGTGTGTAATAGAAAGCTGAAATGAACCTAAAGGGGAAAAAAATCTGCAGAATAGGACAGATGTGACTCTGCCAAGACAGGTGTGATTATGTCTTTTCCATTACTTTTATCCCAAAGTTATAACCAATAACTTCCCAAATGAATATAAATTATATTTTATATAATTTATATGAAATTATATAATTTATATAAAATAAATTCTAATTACTAGAGCAGTTAGCTTGCCTGCACTGTAATTATTCCTATATATACCCTATATTCTTATATTGCATTATATAGTATAGCTACATACTATAAAGCCACAAAACACAAAAACTTCTTTTAAATTACAATTCAAAGACTTTTAACAATATAAATTTACATATCATAATAACAAAGACCAGGATATTGCCTACTTTTTGAAAATGACTACTACCAAAAATATCATTTATGAAAGTGTGAGCAAAACTTTGAGTAACCTAGAAAGTGTTATACAAATGGGAGCTATTGTTATTATCCTTGCTATTATGAATAATGCTATATAAAGTCTGGATGGGCCCTGTGCAGGATTCTTATTTTCAAAATAGATCGAGGCATCGCTGAAATAATGATACAGATACAGGGGTGTGGCGATATAAGAGGAACATGGTATAATCGAAAGAACCCTGGACCTTGAGTCATGAGGGCCTGGGTTCAAGCCATATGCTCTGCCACAGTAGGGAAGTTACACAACTCCTCTAGGCCTCCAGTACCACCTTTCTAAAGTAATGCCTGTATCATAGAGGTGCTCTAAGAAAAGAGGCAGTGTGGTTCAGTGGAACAGGAAGCAGATCTACAGGGGGTCTTTCCTCTGATACACTGTGACCCGGGGCATAGATCCGAACCTCCCTGAGTCTCACTTTGCTCACTGTAAAACAAGGGGGTTGAGCTGAATGGACCCTATTATGATTTTCAGCCCTAAATCCAGGATCCTACAACAGTGCTTTGCTGGTCTTACAGTTTACAGATGAGTCATTACTGTGCAGGATGCTCGTAGAATGCTAGTGTTTATTTCCCAAAGGTAATCCAGGACTCAGGTGATCTGAGAGTCTTCTGGGTAGTACATAGATTATGCCCCCATCTAGTTCATAGGGGAGGCAGAGCCAGGAGCATGGTTCATGATAAACAGTCCCAGTGGGGCAAAGGAAAAGCATGGGAAAGAAGACAACAGCAGATAGCCAAAGAAACAGTGGGAAAAGAACAGAAAAGGCAGGAAGGGACTGAGTAAGGGAGTGTAGCTTGCCAAGAAGACAATTTTCATTGTACTTGCCCACAGTACCCATCTTTTAAGCTGGAGCAATGTACTGACCACACCCTGTCTTCCCTGACATTCTGATTAATATAGTACAGCTGTTTGCCTCCTTATAGCTTAGACACCACACCACCATTCATCCTATGATTATTCTCCAGTCCTCAAAGCTTTTGTCTGGTGCATTATTCATTCTGGAAGGCTTCTATGGGGTCTGAAGCAAGGGTCCCCATATTTTACCATCAGGCTCTTAACTTTCACAATCCAGCAAGCATTGGAGTTAACCACACTACCTCAGAAAGTCTAGTATTTCCCTCACCAAGAATTTTTGTTTATAAAAACTGAGTGGGGGGATAAGGAGTTGGTGGGTAAAAGTCTGTTTTGAGGTAAGTTTAAGAACTGGTGGAAGATAAGATATATCCAATTAAAAAGGCTGGTACCTCTTATCAATGTGTCATGCTCCACCCTAGCTAGCTGCATGATCATTAATGTACTATCCTCTTGAAAGGCACATCTATGCATTAGCCAACCAGGCCAGGCACCTGACTTGCAAAGGCTCTCCAAGGGATTTGATATTGATTGGTTTCCATTAACAGAAACCATTAAATGGTTTCATGCATGTCAGTTTAAGCTGTCTACATCTTCTTAGATAGTTACAGAATCATAAGGGAACACAGTGTGGAATAAGAATTTAGGGAAAAACCGGGGGGGGGGGGAACCACAGTTCATGTGTGAAGAAGTATTTTGAGTGGATGAGTCAACTGTGCTCTTATGGCAAAACTCTGCCATGGGAAGCTGTGTAAACAAGGTGTTTTTTTTTTAATATGAAAAACAGCACTTACAATATTGTTCCAGATTTAATCTTCCCATCAGACTGAAGGTTATGAGCAACAGAAAAGTAGACTTTTACTTAAGGATGATGAATAGTGAAGTTCAGAACACTATGAACTAAGGTCTCTTGTTGGAGGTGAAGGGGGTAGGGAAACCATACAGCCTGAAAAATCTCTCTAAGACACAGGCCTTAGAAGAATCAGCCTTGGAAGTAGT